GTACAACGCCAAACGCAAAACACAGCATTGCAAACGCCAAATGCCTAACTCCAAACTCCAAACTCCACTCTCCAAACTCCAAACTTCACTCTCCGAACTCAAAATTCCACTCTGCAAACTCCAAACTCCACTTACCAATCTCCAAATTCCACTCGCCAAACTCCAAACACATGCGCTGGAAAATAAAGAACACTGGTTTAGCATGAGTGAGGTTCATCTGGTGGTATCTGTAGATCTTGGTTTGAGTGGGAGCGCTGATGGACAGTTTGGTATGTCCAAACATGGGTCCTGACGTGTCTTCATTAGTCTCACATTCACATCTTCAGATCTTGATTACAGAAAACACCATTAGATTCAATGTGAATTTAATCTGTCCATCATGTTCCTCCAAAAACACACTTCATTTTGGACGTGAGGAGGTGATGATGTCTTCAATCCTCGGCCTTAACCTGATCCACGAACTGAAACTCAGAACCTCGAGTCTGTCTCCCAGTTTCTCACCGAGCATGGCATGTGGCCACGATAGTGTTTCTATATCAATCCATCAATCAGACTTCATTCCAGACTCCAGGGGTTTATATAGAACATTCATTACACTTGAATTTATCTGTCAGAATTCACCATATGAAACGCAGTGACAGTGGGTCGGGTGGTGCTGGTGGTGCTGGTGGTGCAGGTGGTGCAGCGGTTGACTTATAACCAGAGGGTTGGCTGTTAGATCCCAGCTGTTACCAGTACAGGCTGTTGTTGTGCCCTTAGGCAGGGGCAATGTCTTATAGAATGAGTATGAGGAGTATGCACACAATCTTTGTCACGCACAGATCACTCAGACCCATCTGCCCATCAGCCCCGGGGCGCCTCTGAGTGGGGGTAAATAAACTTAATACCCCCACTGTGTACTTCCAGGAAATGTCCTCTTATTACTGATGGATTAATCTTTGCTGTTTACAAATGGAGCTGGAGTTGTCCCCCTGAAGTGTCGATGTCTCCTCTCTTCACCTGACCCAAGCGCTGAAAGAGCCGTCAGCTCCACTCACAGAGGATGTACGGGTCCTGAGCTGGGCCACAATACAATCTGTTTAAATCACACACAAATAAAGAGAGTTTAGTACCACTTTATAATAACTACACTTTTAATTACACTCAATAAAGCATGAACAAAAACTTTATTCATATTTCATTCAGAGTTTTTAGAATACAGTCTTAGAAACTACTACTATTCCAAAACTCAGAATGCTCTGTCCAACGTTGTGATGTCATGCGGTGGTAGTTTTCAAGTTGCAGCGACCTTTAACCTTTTGTTCAGTAGAGGCTGGAAATTCCAAGACTGAAATTTTCAAATGACTTTAGTGAAATAGAGTATGGAGTTAAAAAAACACAGCGGTGCACTTCCAGTATCGCCACATGACATCACAAGGTGGAACAGAGTAGTGATAGCAGCTGAATTTTATAGTTTCATTCAAAGGAAGTAGGATTTCTGTGCGTCCATGGAATATTTTTCCTTCTTTACAGAACAACGCCTGTACACATACCAATGCAAAAACATTATAATCTAATAACCCTGGTGTCTACATTTCACAAGATCAGAAATACACAAAATTTTAACTTTTGGTGTGTTTAAAGGTGCATTGTGTAACTTTTCTGGCAGCAGGTTTGTGGAATGCTTTTCTCCATAGAGATGTTATTGCTGTGTCAGGAATGTTTCACAGTTATGGCTGAGTATGATTAATACAATACATAGGCCGATACGATACGTTTTTCGATACAGTGCATGTTCGATTGAGTCGATTCGATACGGTTCAGTGAAGAACAAAGACTAAATCATGGCTGTGATACTAAAAGTTCATTAAGTCCACTAAGTTTGTGCAAAGTTGCCATATTTTCCGCACTATAGGCACTCTGGATTATAAGACACACTGTCATTGAATGGTCTATTTTCAAACTTTTTTCACATATAAACCGCACCGGACTATAATGCGCATTAAACGAAACACAACAGTTAGATAAGTCAGTCAAACTTTATTTAACACGTTCACAATAACTCTCAACTTTGTTCAATTATAACTCGTAAAAAAATACCGTGTGAGAGCATTAAATTAAGAGTATTCACAATAACTCATAATTGTTCAAACAGTTGGGTGATGATGGCGTCCAGGCGTTGTGCCCTGGCAGTTCAGTGATGATTCTGGTCTTGGTGAAAGCTCGGACCACAGTTGATACTTATCCTTAGCCCAGGTGTCCACGATCCGTTGGCAGATTGTGGCGTAAGTCGCTCGGTGCTGTCTCCCTGTCTTGGTGAATGTGTGTTCTCCTTCTCTCATCCACTGCCCATTCACTTTCACTTTATAAACGCCTTGAGTTTAAAGTGGGCGTTGTGAGCGTGTCTCTTGACAGGTGCATTTTGATATTAAAAGGAATCACAATATGTATTACTCCTGATGCTCCTGACTACAGGAGCCATAATGCTGCAAACGGAGCGGCTTTGTAGTTTACTAAAGTCGTTCTAAGACACTCGAATAAATTCATATATAAGGCGCTCTGGATTATAAGGCGCGCAGTCATTTTTTGGTTAAATTAAGTGTGCCCTATAGTGCAGAAAATAAGGTAATATGAAAATCACCCATTTTACTCATCAAAACTGTAAAAATGTCAACACAACTGTAACTCTTACATAAAAACATTTAGTAAAATATACCTAAAAATACTCTTGGCGATATATCGATACAGCAGCCCACTATATCGATACTGTATCACCGAATTAAACGATACGATATGTTGATTGATTTCAATATTTTTGCACACCCCTATTCACATTATGGTATTAAACCTTTCTATCTTCATGGAGACCAAACCAGACCAAGAGGCGGAGAGGCGACCCCGCTCACAGTCACAATGCCTGTTTTTTATAGATATTTTTGAGCTATAAAACCACCTATAATTAAATAAAGATAACATAGAGCTGTTTAATGTCACACTGAGAGCAATGACATACCCACAGAAACAAGCAACACTCCTACAACTGATATTTTTGGCATTTTTCGGAATCGCAAACTAGCCTATGTAACATAAACCCGAGTTAGTCTATCATCTCCCAGCTTTGCCCTCTCGAGTTCAGGGAATGCCCGTCTAATTGTGGTTCTCTGATCGATTCCCTTTAGATTCTGCAGCCCGGTGTCTTTATGGAGCAGAGGAAACCAAACAAAAAGATAAAGGAGCAGTTAGCGCCAGTGCTAGCCCGTGTAATGCTACTCCTGTCTGTGCGGCTGCTCAATATAGTGGTCGTTTTCAGATTGTAAAATGTTCCTAATACTGGAAAAAAATACTTCAGTTTAAGGATGCACTATGTAACATTTCTGGAGGTTGGTTTTAGAGATTGACAGATGGCTGATACCGAGACTGATTGTTTTGCATCCAGAGAAACTTATTTCTGATAAGATCTGCCGATATTTTTGGGATTATTTATTTGAATTAACTACAAAACTCACCCACAGCCCTTTTTTAACCTAGATCTATAAGAAAGCAGTGTAGTCATGTTTTGTGCAGTTATCTCTTTGCATTAAAGCTTTATGTGTATTCTTTAGGCAGTACGTCAATCAAAACAACAAATCTGTGCTGGAGATTTTAGGTCCATAGCCAATACGCTAAAATGGTCAAATATCGGCCTGATGTATCGGTTGGCCTGTTACTTACATCTGTTATTAGGTTCTTTTTTCCAACCAAGAGTTTGTTTTCATACCTAACACACTGCAAAAAAGCCAGAATTTCAGATATAAACACTTAAATCTATCAGAAAATGACTTTAAAGTAGTGAAATTATCTGTCCGTGCAGCAAGATCGTTTTACTTGACAAGTTATCTTAAAATAAACAACCTTTACGTCTCCACATCCACACGTTCCTTTCAACAGGACGTCGCTGCCGCTGTCCCACAAAACACCACGGCCAAAAACCTCATCCTTCTTCTCAATCTCCTCCTTAAAAAAAGTAAGTTGTTCATGTTTTGGCTCTGGTACGAGAGGAACTTTAAAATCTCCAGGTGCTCAATGTTCTCGTCCATGTTTGGACAACTTCAGTAAACACAGAGCACGCTCGCTGCGGTTGACGTCGTCGTGTCTCCAGTGCACATGCGGGACACTTGGGCCGTTTAATGTTCACACTGGAGTCACATACAAGTCACATTTAATTGGAAATGTGAACAACCTTGCAAAAACATCGGATTTCACCAAAAAATCGGAATTGAGCGTTAAGCCCTGCAGTCTGAACGTAGACTAAGTCATGTAGGACCTGCCACTAGAAAAATTGCGTGGTGCACTTTCGAGTACATTCCGAGTTTTAATAGGACTACGCTGTGGCAGAGTGGTTAACATCTCTACCCCAACTCACTTTCTCTGAACTAGAGCTGAAAAATAATCTCCGGTTTATGGTAAATGCTTATACTAATCCATGCTGACATTTCTATTGACTAGTCCACATTCCAAACCCGTTTAATTGCATTCACGTATAAACATTATACATCACCAGAGCCGTCCCTATGATATACTATAGGCCCTGTGATTTCCCATTGATCTGACGGAGAGCGGGGCAGACAGCAGGTCGACTCTGCTCCACAGACTTAAACAGAGACGCACTGTTTCTCTCTTTGTCAATATAACTCCTGTTTACAGCTGCATGCCACAGTCAGACACATGTACCGCCATTGATCAGTTTGGAAGAGACCCAGGAATGCAGATGTACATGTTCTTTTGTGCCAGGTTTTGTTTTATTTCTAAATAGATCTGATTATTAACAGTACTTGACATGTTATATATATATTGGCATCAAACAGGAAATCTTGACCTTTATCTTCATTTGATAGACATGTATACACTTAGTTTTGTGTACATTGTGTATAAGTAAATGAACTAACGAGAATTGACCTGTGAAGTAATTTACGTTGAGAAAGGCCTTTAAAATTGGTTTGGAATAGGGTTACAGCATTAACCTTTGACCTTCGACCTTTAAA